AAGGAAAGCTGAGTAAACCTTGAGCCACTGGGACTATGACAGACAAACTGCTGGCAATCAGCAGACAGCAGAAGTAGCCTGCAGTATTGCACTCTAACCACTGTGCCACCACATAGTATCATCAGCCCTACCTGTTGTGATCTTTGGAAACTGAAAAAGGGGAGGTTGTTAAAAAGAAACAGGAGTAGCCTAATTGCAATGTGAATGTCACTTACTTAACAAATGTTTCACTTAGCAATATAAATAAGGGAAAGTGTTGTCTTACTTTCACTGTAATTATGATATGCTTGGTAAATGATATAAATAAAATGAAAACCAATCTTTAAAAGTAGGACTGGCCTCAGAGAGAGGTCAGAACTAAAGCTCTAGGAGAACAGATTGTTTTCATTATTATTCTCCTGCCCTCTATAAGTGAAGAGATGAAGCAGCTTTGCTCCCCATTGGCTGCATAGCCTGGGACCAGAAGGATGGATGAGTGAATAAGATGAGGGGTTTGCAGAGTAAGAAAGAATCTGATAAAGTAGGAAAGCCCTTAGAAGTTACAGGTAGTCCTCGAGGTATGACCACAATTGAGCCCAAAATTTATGTTGCTAAGTGAAACATTTATTAAATGAGTTTGCCCCATTTCACAACATTTCTTGCCATAGTTGTTAAGTGAATCATTGCATTTGTTAAGTTAGTAACCCAGTTATTAATTGAACCTGGCTTCCTCATTAACTTTGCTTATCAAAAGGTCCCAAGAAATGATCACATAACCCCGGGACACTGAAATATCATAAATATGTATCAGTTGCCAATCATCTGAATTTTGATCGTGTGACTATGGGAATGCTGCAGTGATTGTAGGTGTGAAAAACGGTCATAAGTCACTTTTTTCAGTGCCATTGTAACTTTGAATGGTCACTAAATGAACTGTTGTAAATTGAAGACTAGATATATTTTATCCAGGGCCTAAAAGTCAGCTTTGTTTAGTAGGGAAGGATCCTAGTTTCTCAGCAGTATGCATTATTCATCTGTCTCCCTGTTTTGGCAGCATTGATGGATATGCCAAATGCATCCTTTGGCAAGAGAAGGTGATAAGATTGAAAATACTTCCTGTGGTTCTTTGTAATGGTAGAATCATCCCCATAACTTTGCAGCCCTATGTACAATCTGCTTTCTAACTCACCTTTGCTACCGTGTAGAGTAGGTTTCTTGCTTCCATGCATCCAGTGGACGTGTAGTGGGACCAGAATCGGAAGAAAGGAAGTCAAATTCTCTTGCTTTTTTGTTGCAGCATCTTGATCTCTTGGTTCGTGACTGGTTCTGTCCTCCCACCTATGGATTCCAGGGTGGACAAGTTTATCTCCATGATATCATCCAGGTAAACCTATTATAGAAATTATAGAAGATATCCTGTGTTGAGAATGAAGAGATTATCAGGAGTCCATCTAAAGAAAAGAAACAGAGTGATTGTGAGGTGGTGTTACAATGGTTGCATCTTGTCCCTTCTATTTGTCCATTTAACTTCAGACGCTGGAGGGTCAACCCAACGGTATTCACGATCCCTGGAAATATTCAAAAGCACCAACACTTCTTGTTACCTGATGCCCTTCCCTGGCAAGGCGTTGGTGATGGGAACTGAAGGCACCATAGCAGGCAAGAATCTCTTTCTTTCCATTATACTTTCTTCATGTTCCTCCCACAAGTCTATTCATTTGGCATTTTAGGAAGGAATAAGCACAATTACTTCATTCCATCAGAAGGAGGAACATTAATATCATAAATCCTTTCTGATTAGCGGTGGAGTTTAAAAGCAGTTAAATCAATTCATTCTTTGGCTTGAAATGGAACTGGGGAACTGGGGAAACAAACTATGGAACTATGGTTTTTTTTCTAGTATCATCATTTAAAAATTGCTCTGAATCCAAAAGGCAATGTAAAATGACTCTGGTGAAGCCAACAAGATTTTCCACTTTCCCAGACTATTTTTTATGAAATAAATTCTTATTCTACAAATAATTGGTATGACCAAAATTCACCGAAACTTTGTTAAGTTTCTTTCTTTAAATTTCAACTTTCTATTATATTTCAACTTTCTATTATATTTCAACTTTCTATTATATTTACCTCAAGTTTCTATACAAACTCAAAGTAAACCGTTCCAAACTCGATTGCAGAAAATATGACTTCAGTAACAGAGTGGTCAATGCCTGGAATGCACTACCTGACTCTGTAGTTTCTTCCCCAAACCCCCAAAACTTTAATCTTAAACTGTCTACTGTTGACCTCACCCTATTCCTAAGAGGTCTGTAAAGGGCGTGCATAAGTGCACCAGAGTGCCTACCATCCCTGTCCTAATATTCCTTTTTACTTACTCTTTTCATGTATTCAAATTATGTTTATATTTTTTATTTGTAATCTTATATATGCTTGACAAATAAATAAACTTAAACTATTTGATATTTGTGGCTAATAGCAAAATATGCCTTTTTCTGAAAGGGCTCCTCATCCCTCCCTTACTCACGGTTGATAGATCAATTTTGTAAGCCCTCTGCTGCACTCATTTTCCCCAAAGCTTATAAGATTACTAAAAGTGCACAAAGCCTGAGTCTTGGAGATATTAAAAATATTCTAAAATAACAATTTCATTTCTCCAACCACCAGCACCCAAACACACTGCATATACAGGCATACATACTGAAGCAAAGATTTATCAGATAGGATAGCTCCCTTTTAAGGCCAAGTCAACACTCTGTTGCATTTTGGAGTCTTGGGCTTAATCTGGTTGCATTCAAATATTTTCAACCATTAACTCCAGAAAAAGTAAAAAAATAATAAAAAAAATTGTGCTGGCCAGAACAGTCTGAATTGTTTTTTGCAGATATGGATGACGATTTTAGGGGATTCCTGAAGGATTATGGGAATCATATTGCCAGATCAGCTGGAATGCATGTACAGAGAAATCAGAACAACGAGCCTCTCACCGGGATAGAACTTGCTGATAAGATAAAGGTGAGAGTTATGGGAATCAAATGATGTAAGCAACCTATGCCTTTGTATAAGTGTTTGGCATATAGAGATTTCTATTATTGCCTCCAAAATATATCAGTTTCTTGAGGTGTTTCTCAACTTCAGGAATTTTAAGATGCATGGACTTCAATTCCCAGAAGTCCCAGAAGCAGGGGTGAAATGCTCCCAGTTCGAACCGGATCTCCTGATCCGGTAGCGATGGAGGCGGGTGGTTCAGAGAACCGGTAGCAAAAGTCCCTGCCCCCCCCAATTGCCCAACTGAGCCGCGCAATCATCGAAGGCTTTTTTTTTTATTTTTAAAAGCATATTTTCTACAACCTCTTTGTAGAAGCATTTAAAAATGCTTTTAAAAGTAAAAAAAAAGGCTCTGATGATCACGCGGCTCAGCTGGCATCACCAGAGGCTTTTAAAAGCATTTTTTCTACAACCTCTTCGGCCAAAGAGGTTATAGAAAAAATGTTTTTAAAAGGAAAAAAAGCCTCTGCCAATCAGGCAAGTCAGCTGGGATCGTCAGAGGCTTTAAAAGCATTTTTTTACAACATCTTCAGCCGAAGAGGTTGTAGAAAAATGGTTTTAAAAGTAAAAAGAACAAACAAAGTTGGCCATGCCTACTCAGTCATATTACCCTCCCACACACACACCATGCCACGCCCACAGAACCGGTAGTAACAAATTTTACATTTCACCACTGCCCAGAAGTATTGGCTAGGGCAGGGGTCTCCAACCTTGGCAACTTTACGACTTGTGGACTTCAACTCTCAGAATTCTAGGAGTTGAAGTCCACAAGTCGTAAAGTTGCCAAGGTTGGAGATCCTGGACTAGGAATTCTGAGAGTTGAAGTCTACACATCTTAAAGTTGTCAAGTTTGAAAAACACTAATGCAATTATTCCTTCTCTAATAAAATTACTTATATAATATTATTTATTACAATTACATCTATGCTGTAATCTGTACTGTATAACACTATAACTCAACCTCAGCAAGGATTTCAACTCGCAGAATTCCCTAATTGGTGTGCTCTAAAACATACAGTACTTCTCCATTACTATCTACCAAACATTGATGTCTTCTTATATACAGGTAATCCATAACTGAGCCCAAAATTTCTGTTGCTAAGTGAGACATTTATTAAGTTAGGTTTGTTAGGTAGAGCTGTGGTCTAGAGGTGAAGCTCTTGCCTCATAATCAGGAGGTTGTGAGTTCAATCCTAGGTAGAGGCATATGTAGGGTCTCCTGCTTGGGCAGGGGGTTGGATTAGATGACCTGTAAAGTCCCTTCCAACTCTGTTAAAGTGAATTTTACCCCATTTTATGATGTTTCTTGCCACAATTGTTAAGTGAATTGCTGCAGTTGTTAAGTTAGCAACATGGTTGTTAAATGAATCTAGCTTCCCAATTGATTTTTGCTTGACTGAGGGTCGGAAAAGGTGATCACATGACCCCAGGATACAGCAACCGTCATAAATGTGAGTCAAATTGCCAAGAATCTGAATTTTGATCGTCATGGGAATATTGCATCAATTGAAAGTGTGAACAATTGTCATAAGTCACTTTTTTCAATGGTGTTGTAATTTTCAACGGTCACTAAATGAACTGTTGTAAATCAGGGACTACCTGTAGTCTATTCTGACAATTCCCCCCCCCCCCGCCCGCCTTTCTGGGAATTAAAAGTGTTGTCACTTTTAACAGCCAGCAGATGGAGCACTTACACTTTTCTAAATTGTCCTTTTTGTTTCTGTACATTTGTTTTCATTGTCCACTCCTTCCAAAAGGAACAACTTCTATCTTTTTGCTGCTAATGGCAGCAGAAAACATACATCTCCTATCTTCCCAATCACAACCTAAAGCAGGTTGCTGCTTTATTGGCATCTAACTCTGCTACTCTAATGGTAGACAAAAGGTTTAAATGAGAGGGAAAGGAAGGCGCACAGAGATCTGAAGCCAGCAAGTTCAATCTTTGTGAGATGCTCTATTCCGGATAGGTGAAAAATGGTTATATGGAGAGGGACCCTAGAATCTGCAGTTTGGACTAAAATTGTATGTGTGAATTGACAGGCAAACAGGAAAGGTCCAGCACTGCCTGTTCAAAACATGATTTCACAGAAACTCAGAGTTAAAATCCGCGCTCATTTCAAAAATCCAGTTAAAAAATAAAGGGAAATAATCAAAGCCATTAAAAAGCGAAAGTTAGAGTATTTTGGACATGTGATGCGACACCCAGAAAAATATGGCATCCTTCACTTAATCCTCCAGGGAAAAATTTAAGGCAAATGAGGCCCAGGCAGAAGAAGAACATCTTGGCTTCAAAACCTAAGGGACTGGTTTGGACAAAACTCAGCAGCACTTTTTCATACGGCTGTTGACAAAAATAGGATTGCCAACATGATCGCCAACGTCCGATGACGGACATGGCACAAGAAGAAGAAGAAGTTAAAAACATCCAGGCAAATGATCCTTGAAGTACCACTTGAACACATTACACAAAGGGTAATTTAACTCCACTGCTGCTTGGCTCTGTTTGTAGCCAGTGGATATCTACCACATCAAGGTGTTTGTTCTGAATCTTACGGGGAGCTTTAGTCACACATTCAGTTGTTGTCTGGTTTGGTTTGAGCCTTGTTACTACAGACTCTGAAGGAAAGGAACATGGTTGCCTCCCTTCTTTTATCCAGTTATTAATGGGAGAAATCATGATATGCTTTGGCTTGACTTGGCGCACTGATGCAATTGATGTTCCCTCATAGCATGGCCAAAATTAATACAAGCCTAATGAGATCTTTATGCATGATGATACTGCGCCCCTCTAGCCTGCCTTGGCACATCTGTGAGTCTTTTCAGCAGTTGACATATGTGTTCAATATATGAGTTTTTGTGTGTTTGTGTGTGTTAAAAAAAAATCCTTCTCACCTCTATGGTTGGTATGCATCTTCCTCACCCTTGGGTCTTCTACCAGGACCCTTGAAGTTTGAGGGTTCTGAGTAGGATCCTAGCTGATCCTAGTATTGCACTTGATTAGACAGAGAGCTATGTTGGAGGCCCTCTCCCAGCTTAGGAGTCACAGCCCCACATGTTACCACTACAGGGTGCAATTCAGCCTTTACTTTTCACATCCTCCTTAGTTCCTCCATCGGGCTTAATACTTCTCTAGTTTCTCGTACTCCTTCTTCCTGATGTTGCTATCACTTGGCACCACTACATCTATCGCCACCATTGTCTTCTGGTCCTTGTCTACTGTCACAACACTAGTAGTAGTTCTACCTATTTGTAGTAATATATAATTTTATTCAAGATTTTTATATATGTAAAATATAAACATGAAAATATACAATGAAGTGTTGAAAAAAAAACCCTGCAAGGTAAGTATAGACTAGGGGTGTCAAACTCAATTTCATTGAGGGCCACATCAGGGTTATGTTTGACCTTGCGGGGGGCAGGGGGCATGGCCAGCACAACATCACTATGGTGGCCTAAGCGCTCTGCCAGTGAAAACAGGCTCCCGAGCTCCATTTTTTACTTTTCTTGCTCTATATCAATGACTTATGTGATCAACTTAAAAGCAATTGCGTCCTTTTGGCCGATGATGTCAAATTATTCAATACTACAGATAATTCTATTGTTTTGCAAAGTGATCTTGACTATGTATCTGAATGGTCATCTATTTGGCAACTTCAAATTTCGATTAATAAATGCTCTGTCTTACATATTGGTAAGCATAATCAGAATATCAAGTATAAGCTAGGTGACATTGATCCAGCAGATGACCCTCAGTTTGTCAAGGACCTAGGTGTACTTATCTCTGACGACCTATATTCCAAAGTTCACTGTAACAGCGTTGCTAAAAAAGCATTAAGCATTTTAAGTTTAATTTTGCGAAGTTTTTTTCTGGAAACATTGTATTGCTAATTAGAGCTTATAAAACTTATGATAGAACAATTCAATTGTTCAACTGTTTGGAATCCCCACCATATATCTGACATCAGTACAATCGAGTGGCTTCAGAAGTATTTCACAAGAAAAGTCTTGCACTCTTCCGTGCACAATAGAATTCCTATGCTACTAGGCTCGAAATTCTTGGTTTGGATAACTTAGAACTGTGTTGCTTGCGGTCAGACCTAGGTATTGCATACAAAATTATACGTAGTAATGTTTTACCTGTAAACGACTTTTTTTGTTTTAATCTCAATAATACGCACAATAACAACCACTTAAACTCAATGTAAATCGTTCTAAATTTGACTGTAAAAAATATGATTTATGTAACAGAGTTGTCAAAGTCTGGAATGCTCTACCTAATCCAGTTGTCTCAGCTACAAATTTTCACAGTTTCAGTTGTAAATTCCGTGGACCTTACTTCATACTTAAGTGGTCAGTAGAGTGGATGTGCATAAGTGCACTCACATGCCTATCGTCCCTGTCATTGTTTTTTTTTCTTTTATTCTTGTTCTCATTTTTGTTTTGTTTGTTTGACAAATTCTAATAAATAAATAAAATAAATAAATGATATGGGAAAAATACTGTGCATTGATCTATCCATATAGTCCATGTGCAGGTAGGTTATAAATTTACTCTCTACATATCTGGAAGTATTCTGAATAGCCATCTAGGAAAGTCTTTTGTTAATCAATTTTTACATGTTTTTTATTCTTTCAGGCTTTGTCAGAACTCATGAAACAATATCACACTGGTTTTTCCTCACCCACAGAGGTACTGACTTCTCCATTTTTTTTTCTGTATCTTTCCCCGGTATACACTTATAACTAGTTTGCACTTTTTAAAAAGAAAAACATCCTTCAGATCAAATTCCACATTTGAATAGAATTCTATTGGCCAAGTGTGATTGCTGATTCCATGAACACATCCAGGTTGTTTTCTGGGCAGCTATGTAGAAATGATTTGCTTTCACTCTTTTCTGTTTCATTTTGCTTTAATCTTAGCCTAACTTACAATTCTAATATTGTTGGGTGGGTTCCCAACAAGGAATCACAAGAGCCTGATAAACATAATGGGGCATGAAGAAGAGCAAAGGAATCTTGCTAAAGCTAAATTGGACTGGGCCTAGTTAGCATTTGGATGGAAGAACATCCATTTATTGAATTCTATAGAGCCGTGGAAGATGGGATGAGGCCATCATAAATAACTTGTTAGATATGCCTTTGGAGGTCCATAGCAGGAAATCCTATTTCTGATAGTGATAGATTAACCAGTGGGACAGCTTGACTTCAGAAGTTGGAGGTGCTTCACCACTGGAGGCCTTTAAGAAGAGACTGGACAGCCACTTGCCTCAAATTGTATAGGGTCTCCTGCTTGAGCAGGGGGTTGGACTAGAAGACTTCCAAGATCCCTTCCAGCTCTATTCTGATTGATTGGATTCTGCAGTTGTAACCATTTCCATTAAAAAGGAGCAGTTATGAAGCTAAATAGCTGACATGAATGGACCTGCTACACAATCCAACTTTATTCCTTTCCTTGTCTCTTCTGGGATGTGAGGGAACTCAAGGAAAGATTAAAATTTTCTGTAGCCACATCTGCTAATATTTCCTTTTTCCTTCTTCTCAGATGATCTATACCTTCAACCAGAACAACAATAAAATGTTCCAGATGAAATTTAAAAAGTTCATCCAAAAGCAGGTAGGACAAGCCCAGTTTTATTATAGTTTTAATTTTTTAAAAGGCAAAAAATGATGATTCTGAAAATGCAAATACTTGGAATATGTTAGAGAGAGAACAGATTTCTATGGTTTGCCTACTGTAAATTGGCATGTAGTGAAGGTGAAAGGATTGACATTTAGTCAGTATGGTAGACTAGAATCAGAGATGTAATAGAAACCAGAGGGATGAGCTTTTAAAGTTCAAGTCCAGATAAGGACCAGAATTTTGGTTGCTAAACGATGTGGTCATTAAGTATGAAATCATCCGTGATCAGATCCCTGTTTTACAAACATTTTTCCACAGTTGTTAGGCAAAATATCATAATTAAGCTAATGACTTGTTAAATGAATTATGTGGTCATTAAGTGAATCTGGGTTCCCCCATTTGACTTTGTTGAAAACTAACTAGATCACAAATTGCAGTCCTGTGATAACAGGATGCTGCAACTATTGTAAATGCAAGCTGGTTGCTGAGCTTCCAAATCATCACTTAAATTCAAGAACAAGCTATAAGTCACTTTTTTCAAAGCTATCGTAACCCTAAACTATCATTAAATGAACAGTCATAAATTGAGGACTACCTGTAGTGGTGTTAGTAAGTATTTAAATACAGAAAAAGGAAATCAAATGATTTTTGATTGATATTGTCTGAGGATGGACTGTGTTTTGCAAAATTTAGTAGATAAACCATTGATCCCTGGTGGTGCAGTGGTTAGATACAGTATTGCAGGCTAACTCTGCCCATAACCTGGAGTTCAATCCTGACAGGGCTTAAGTTTTGACTCGGCCTTCCACCTTTCTGAAGTCAATAAAAAGAGGATCCAGATTGTTGGGGGCAATATGCTAAACCTCTCAGAGAGTGTTGTAAAACACTATGAAGCAGTATATAAGTCTAAGTGCTATTGCTATTCCTAGACCCATAAAACAAGTTAAAATATTTTGGCAGTTCAAAAGCTTATCACACAGGTATGGGTTTGTTTGTTAGTTAGTTAGTTAGTTAGTTTCAGCTTAATTGACCAGAAAAGACTATTGGGAATATAAAATGGCAAATATAAAAAATCTGGGGGCCTTAGATATAAGGGCATATTAAGTATATGATAAATAGTGGGATAATAAGAAGCAGCATTGTTATGAATCATGAGATGATTAATATTTTCAGTTTTTTCCATCTATTTCTGTACTACCCTTTCATCTTCAATCTTAGGATGAAATCTCACGTTCAATGTTGGGAAGCCTACGTGTGTCCCCAAATTCGATGACTAAGCGCTTAAAGGAGAAGCAAGAGAAACTGCTCCAACAGTTCCGAGACTCATTTCAGGGTGATGAGCCACATCAGACAGAATTTTTAACTTGCCTGGACTCATACCAGAAGTGTGAAGCTAAAGATTTCTTGGAAGATTATAGACGCCGCTTCAAATCCTCTGCTATCAAAGCCGGAGTAGCCATTGGGGTGGGTGCTGTGGGGTTAGCTGGTGGAGCTGTTGGAGCTGGTATAGCAGCAGCCTTGTTGGCAGGGGAAGCCATTGTGCTGGGCACTGGTGCTACTTTTGCAATTGGGACTGTGGCTGGGGCAAGCACATTTGGACTGATTGGGGGAGGAGTGGGAGCTGGTGTGGGGAGCTGCATGTGGGATTCTAAAGACAATGATAACAAGAATGATAATGATGATGAGACAGAAGAAGAACAGGAGGAGGAAAATGTGTCAGATGAGAAAAGTCTTATTAACTGATGAGGTTCATCTTAAGAATTAAAGCCCCACACGTCCTTCATTAAAGAACAAATACCTGCTATAAAGACATAAATCCCAAGAGACTAGTCTCATGTGCGCTCCTTTGTCTCAAGAACTATGGAGAATTAGTTATTCTGTGACCATTCTGGGATAGCCATAAAATAGCATAGTTCCAGCACAAAAATTTGGACTTGCAAGTGACAATAAAAGACAAAAGCAAATGCTTCATATAGCAGCAATTAAAAGAATAATTATTTCCTCTGTATCTCTCCCTCCCACTGGGGGAAGGGGGAGTGCTCCAGTGAATTACCAATAGCATGTTTCTCCTGCTCTAGCACCTATTCTGAGATATAGAATAAAGGAGAAAAGGAAATTATATCCAGGGCATCAGCTGTAGACATGGAGCTACTTAATGATATCCATTCTGCAATGGTCTGCTTTGGATCAAAATCTAAAACAGACTAAAGTGGGCTTTGTTGTCATCTCAAAATTTATCACAAGAGGCAATTCCTTCACAGAAAGATGGAGCTGCATCGAAGGTTAAATGTGTGATTTATGTTGTGTTACAGTTACAATACTTCCTGAAGGGAAGGCCCTTCGCTTGATCTTTCATGCCCCAGTCATCTCCTGTCTGGATTATTGCAATGCACTCCACATGGGGCTACCATTAAAAATTATTCAGAATCTTCAGTTATGTGAGCTGCATTGGGTCTCTGATAAACTCATCTGCTATGGTACTGGAAGGATTTCTGCTCTCAAGAAATCATTTATACTCTGGTAAATCGCTGGAATGAACTGAGAAGGACAGAGCACCATGGAACATTTCTGTATCCCAATTCCTTTGATAAGCAAATGAAATGAACTCCATCTGGGCGTGTCATTATCCAAACCAGGGGTCTGCAACCTTAAACACTCAAAGAGTCACTTGAGCCCATTTCCCACAGAAAACAAAACACCGGGAGCCACAAAACCTGGGTGGCATGGCCAACTTGATGTCATTCACTCCCACCCAGTCACATGACCCCCCAGTCATGCCTTTCCAGCTTTTGTGGATCCCCATTTTCTTTTCTATGGGAAATAGGTATCTCCCTCTCTCTGTCTCTGTCTCCCTCCCTCTCTCTTTCCCTCCCTCTCATCTCTCTTTCTCCCTGTCTATCTCCCTCTCCATTTCATCCCACTTTCCATCTCTCTCTCTCTCTCTCTTTCTTTCTTTCTTTCCCCCTCTCTGTGTCTCTATGTCTGTGTGTGTGTGTGAGAGAGAGAATATCTCTCCCTCTCTCTTGCTCCCTGTTTCTGTATCTCTTTTCACTCTCTTGGAAAGCCCTGTGTGCTCTCCTTGGAGCTGTTCATTACCTCTTTTTCTTTCTTCCTTTTGGAAATTTGAGCTGGATGAGGAATGAGTGAACCCGCGGCGGAGGCTTCCCTCCCCCTCCTCTTGCGACCCCCTGGCTGGCTGTGGTGGGGCCGGGAGAGTGCACACGAGAGAAGGAGAGGTAGCATGATATACAACAGAAGTAAGATTTACATCACAGCACTAGACACTATAGAAAATCTGTTAAAAGATGTTGCTTTTATAGCCTTAAACTGCTTCCACATTTAAACTGATTATTTACTTTTATACTACTTCAGAAAGGTGAAAGTTGTAACAAACACAATCATCTTTTCCCTGTACTGTATTCTGTTCAATGATTTATTGCTGACTTTGAGACGAAGTATTTGTAACTTCATTCAAATGCAACTTCTAAATTAGCAGTGCAAATTTATCCTTAATTAAACTCACTAAGTTGGAAATTCACCACATATATCATTCAAGAGTATGCTATAAATGGATGCAACATCATATATTCCTTAATGTATTATTTAAGATTACTCAAAATATTTCTTGATATGATTTGGTGAATGCAGATCTCTGGGCTTTTATTGCATTAGCAGTTATAATTGCAAAAATCTAACTTGACTGGAGTGTTGGTAGATTTATCTGATAAATTGACTGATATATTTTTAAATCCCACTATTAGTACAGATCAAGGCAATATATATGGAGCTATCTCTTCCTCTTTATTCCTGACAACACCAAGCCTTCCAGTAGGTTGGGATGGGAGAGGATGACTGCCTCAAAGTACTTCATGAACTTCCACAGATGAGAACAAGAGTCTTCCCAGTGTCAGCCATGCACCTCAATGACTATATAATTATTCTTTTAGTTGCTGAAATATTATGGATTGGAAGAGAAATAAAGATTTGGATGCATCCTGAGAGAGACAAGCATTAAAATCAAGCACATTCAGAATAAATAAATGAATAAAGAATAAGTTAATCTTTTTCACAGTTAAATTTATAATGCTTATATCTTTTAGGATTTTGTGATTGGGGTATCATTGGGGTAATTAAATTAAAATTAACTTCTAGGAAAAGGTCACTTGTCCCACAATGTTATGACCACAATATTAATGATTATGATCATCATAATGATCATAATCATAATGATTATGATAAATATCCATTGAAATGGATATCCATTGAAATGTATCTAGTACTTACATAGAAGAGACCCTAATATATTTTAATTTGGATTGAATAATATTTCAACATTTGCTTCGCCCAAACTCAATGCCTTTACTGGATAAAGTCATAGGAAACACATTTACAATGGCAGAAGAAGAAATGGAAATAAGATAAATATTAAAAATCTTAGTTTGATGAAATTAACTATTTCATCAAACACTGTTGGAAGTGGTTCTTCTGTGAAGGTTAATGTATTGGAAACAATAAAGCTATGAGTAGTAATGACACCAATGATGAAGTCTCCCGACTGATAATAGGTCAGAGGTGGCAAGTGAAAAACACACAAGCCACATTTAACTATGGGAATCTTGCACAATATGCAAGAAATTATTAGAAACAGTAATGCCATCATCCCATTCACAGATTTCTCCTCTGCTCCCTCCATTATTTTCGGGGTTATTTTATCAATTCTCTATTGAAATGTCCTTTTGCATCTTGAGTTTTTGGTGGAAAATATAAATTATTAGATAGCAGATATGAGAATGGACGTTGTCTTACCTGAACGTCCCTTTTCTGGGCGCTGCGTACACTATCCATGCATGGTTAATCCTTCAGTGCTTGGCAAACAACTGAGTGAAAACAAAAGGCTTTTGTTCCCCTTTCTGGCTCCCAAGCCACGCCTCTCGTCCCATGATGCCCCAGTCTGAACGAAGGCGCAGCAGACAAGAAACCACACTACAAGTAACGTATACAACTCAACTTTATTAACTCAAGTTAATGTAAGGGAAAGAAACTAGTCTCAGCCATCCCAGTGACAGGCAGCCCTCACGGGCGGGATATGGATAGTGTACGCAGCGCCCAGAAAAGGGACGTTCAGGTAAGACAACGTCCATTTTCCTGTGCGCCGCTCCCACTATCCATGCATGGGATATACCCAAGCCTACGCTCCCTGGGTGGGGGGCTGCCTGCCCTCAGAGTCCTCCTCTGTCAGTACTTTTTGCAGAATTCTGCGGCCAAAGGATGCCTCCGCTGAATTGTAGGCATCGATTCTGTAGTGGCGGATGAACGGTGTGAGGGATGACCACGTTGCCGCTCTGCAGATGTCCACGACCGAAGCTTGGGTGGCCCAGGCTGCTGAGGTGGCCGCGCTGTGTGTCGAGTGCGGTAGGATCTTGTCGGGGGTCAGTTTGGCGCTCAGGTCATATGCCAGGGCAATGCAGGCCTTGATCCATCTGCTGACTGTGGCTGCTGATATCTTCTGACCCATGGACTTTGGGTTGAAGGAGACCAGGAGTCCCTCCATACGGCGGAAAGGAGCGGTCCGCCGGATGTAAGTGTAGAGGGCACATCGCACATCTAGAGTGTGCCACCTCTCTTCTCTGGGATCGCGAGGTGCGGGGCAAAAGTCCGGTAGGATGAGTTCCTGAGCTCGGTGGAACCACGAGTTGACCTTCGGGATAAAGGCAGGGTCCAGGCGCAGGGTCACCGTGGAGTCATGGAAAATGCACAAATCTCTGCGGACTGACAGAGCCGCGAGCTCTGAAACCCTCCTCGCTGAGGTGATCGCCAGCAGGAAGGTCACCTTAAACGATAGGTACTTAAGCGCTGTCGTGTCTAGGGGCTCGAAGGGGGGCCCCGTCAGTGCCCTCAACACAAGAGGCAGATCCCATGAGGGGTAGCGGTGGACTGTGGGGGGCCGCAGGTTGGTGGCCCCATGTAGAAACCCCTTGATGCGTGGGTGGTGTGCGAGGGATTGGTATGGGGGGCACGCAATGACTGTTGACAGCGCCGCTGTCTGTCTCCGCAGAGTTGCGGGGGCCAGGCCCTTGTCTAGGCCAGCTTGTAGGAACCACAGGATGTCGCGAATGGTGGCTGACGTGGGGTCGACGTGCTGTTGGGTGCTCCATCTACAGAACGCCTGCCATGAAGTCTCGTAGATACGGGTCGTAGCTGGCCATCTGGCCGCCTGGATAGTGGTAACCACTTCGTCTGGTAGGCTGTCCTTCTTCAGGATGACCCGTTCAAGTGCCAGACGGCTAATTGCAGCCACTGGGGCTCTGGGTGTGACTGCTCCTTGGCACAGGACGAGCTGCTGTGGCGGGATCAGCCATGGCTGTTCTACGGACAGGGCTACTAGGTCGGTGAACCATGGTCTCCGGGGCCAGTTTGGGGCTACCAGGAGTAGGTCGGCTCTTTCTGCCAGCAGCTTCCGAATGAGTCGTGGGAGTAGCGGGACTGGTGGGAATGCGTACAGGAGACCCTCGGGCCACTTGCAGCGCAGCGCATCGTGGTCCTCCGCTTGTGGTGTCGGGTAGCGCGATACGAAGCGTGGAAGCTGAGCGTTGCGAAGCGTTGCGAAGCGGTCCACGACTGGGTTTCCGAAGCGTGAGGTGAGTTCTTGAAACAGCTGAGGGTGGAGCTGCCACTCCGCTTGATCTATTGTTTCGCAGCTGAGCCAGTCCGCCCTCACGTTGGTTACCCCGGAGATGTGATCTGCTCTGATCGAGAGCAGGTGCCTCTCTGCCCAGCTGAACAGCTCCGCGGACTCGTTCATCAGGGTACGGGACTTTGTGCCC